ACTTGTTCAACCGTCGAGTCGAAAATTAGAATTGAACTGTGACGCCATAATTACCTCATAAATATATTTAAGATATTGAGCAATATTTACTCAAATTAGTTTCCTATTTCAAGACACATATATTTTTTCATAAATATATTAACCAAATATGTGAGATTATACATGTGTGTGTATATATATATTAGTTATTATTTAAAAAAAAAAAAATCAACTACGTTTTTGTATAAGAGAAAATACACTATACGGAATATATTTATATATTTTGTTATTATCTATTAACAAAAGTTCTATGTTGCTCTAGTGGAATGGTGCAAACCTACTTTGGAGACCCTATAGAATGATTTTGTAATTTTCAATAACAATTGAGCACATATTAAAGTTCGGTTGGTTCTTTCAACCTGGTGCCAGTTCATCCAATTGGCCTTTCTAGAACAATTGAGCACATATTAAAGTTTAGCTAGTTCTTTCAACCCAATGTTGGTTCGTCCGGTTGGTCGGTTCAGCCGCAGATTTACCAGTTTGACAAAATTAAACCGGTTTTGAATTAAAACAGGTTTATGCATTAATCTGGATCGGTAGTGATGTAATCGGTTCGGGACAGTCGGTGTTTAGGTGAAATTTTACACTAAACCGATAATGTTGGCTCTATTATATTGAGAACTGATACGGACTGAATTTTTCACTAAATTGCACAAAACTGCACCAATTCTAATAGTTTGACTCGATACGGTTTAATATGTTTAGGGCCTTTCAAATTTGAATTACTTCTTAAATTTGTAGTACAGTGAATAATTTATATAAAAATATTGAAATATAATTAGAAACAAAATATAATCTTAAAATCAAAGTCTTGACATCAAAGTAAAACCAAAATTTAAAACCATCAACCCATAAGGCTAAATCACAAGTCTATCAAGCAAAGTTAAAATAAAAAAATTGAAAACGATTTGCTACAACTATATAAGCATAGTAGTAGCAAAACTTGACTCAAGCACGTATGAGTGGCAAACTAACAACTTAACATATTGTCAATGTCTATTGTCAAATTCGGAATATTTAAGAAAAAATAAACAATTAAGTGAATCAACTAAACTTTGTATTCAACCAATTTCATTATATATTTAATATATATTATGTTTAATATGAAAACTTTCGATTAGTTTCCATTTAAATCGGTGCACAAGGTGTCTAAACCGGTACCAAACCGGAAAAAAAAAAAAAAATTTAAAATCACACAGACCGATTCATATTAAAAAACTGGCCAAATATAGTTGATTCGGTTCGGTTAAACTAGTTTGGTAATTTTTTTTCAGTTTTTCTTACGTCCCTACAAATCGGAGCCTCGACCGGTCGACGGGTCAACCGGTCAAACCAACCAATCTGATCCGATTTTCAAAACATTGGCCACCACAACACAGTTAATCGGGCGTTAACTGAAAGGATACTAAAACCCATCTCAATGCGCCATGCTTTACCGGTTGCTAGCCAGAAGGAAACGGAACATCCATATCGCCCAACAATACACACACTTTACCGAGCACAAATCATAAAGAAACGAACCTATCTCAGTGCACTATACTTTACCGGGTGCTAGTCAGAAGGAACCGGAACCACCATACAACACCTTCATTATAGCTACCAATATCAACCTATCATTACCGATTTCCCAATTAAATCCACAAAGGTACATAACACATAAGACTTGGATTCAATTAAACCAAGCTTCATTGAAAAATATCTCCGAAATAAACAATAAACATAAAACAGAACTCCACAACCATATATCATTATGTTCGTATACCCAAAAATCTCATGAATCCCAATGGTTATCAAACATTCACTTATCTTCAGAATTTTACCGAAACTATGCTTTAACTAGCTTCAGTAATTACTGAATCATACATTTCTAATTTAACTCATAAACATAAAATCTTAACCATCTCTATTTATTAACCAATTATATAACTCCCAAAATATTTGATAAATATATAATCACCATTTATATAACTAATCAATTGTTCAAAATACAAGCTTTCTATTCTCAGCTTTCCATCAGTTAACAATATTTGATTTTAATTCCCCAAAACAACCAATAGATTTCCCATTTCTCCAAGTCATATAATTTCAAGAAAGTTAGGTTTTTTGTTTAAAATTTGGGGCTTTTCATGTAGCGATCCCGGTTTCGACCCTTCTTTCATGTTTTGCTACTTCGACTGGGCAGGTCGGGGATTGAGCTGCCCGGTCAGCTCACGGGGGTCCAGGGGGCAGCGCCCTTTGTCGAGTTCAAGGGGCAGTGCCCTTGAAGCAAAAATGCAAAATGCATTCGAAGTTGCTGGTCCGCTCGAGCGGCCGTTTATGCGCTCGAGCGGAGAATGTTTGGTTCTAGAAGTTTGACCTGTCTGCAAAAGTATTGGGAAGGTGTGTTCGATGCTCGAGCGGGGCTTTCCACGCTCGAGCGGACCATGTTATATCAGTTCGTGAATCAGATATTTCAGATCACTTTTGTATATCTCTCTCTCTAAAAACATTTTCTCTCACTTCTCTCTACATTTCCCTGCGCCAAATTGGATCAAAACCTTGATTTCTCAATATCCATTAGAGTTCTACCATAGGTTCTTCATCAAAGTTGGTTAACTTCTCGAGGGTTTCGTTGTGTGCGGTGAAGATCGAGTTTTGATACCGTTGATTTTGGGGGTTTCATCTCATTTCATCTTCAAAACTTAAGGTAGGGATTTTCTTAGAATTATATATATATTTTTTCAAGATCTAGATAATTTTCAAAATCATCCTTCGATAGCTTTGAAAATTGATACTTACCCAAAAAAAGCTTTCAAAATTGATTGTTAATTCAAAAAGTTAAGCGATTTTCAAAGTGTGTTTGTCTCTTGTTCTTTTAAAATGATCTTATGAGTTTTGATCTTCGTTGATTGAAGAAAAGATGATTTTGAAAAGTTTTGTTTCAAAAGATTTGAGTTATATAGTTTTGGTGAAAAACCTAGAATTTGGAAAAAAAAATTTAAAGCGACTGAAAATCTATGAATGATATTGTTATATTTATTTTGTGTGTCAAAATAAATAGATGTTTGGAAAATTTCTTATTTATATTTATATAAATGATGAATTTCAGGGAATATGAGAATTGTTGTTCGTTTTGGAAATTATTGTTCAAAACGTTGAAATAGTCTTGAAATAACTAATTGTTAAGAATACTTGAGAAGAGGGAATTATGTTATTCCTTGGATGATGAATTAGAATAAAGTATTTATATTCATCTTGTGTTATTGGCATATCAATTCATTTGATTACATTAAACTTTGAAAGTTGATTTAAAAACTTGCATTGAAAAAAGAATGTTGAGAAATAAGTTTCCATGAATTGGTTTTGGGGTAAATACGGTGGTAAGTCTTGACAGGTGGTGTAGCTGAAATTGAATAGGCGTCGAGCCTTCCACTTAATACTAGTAAAAATGACAAATTATAGATGTCGAGCCTTCCAGTCAATGCTGGTAAAAATGACAAATTGGTAGTACTTGTATAGTCTACTTGCAAACATCAACCTAGGGATTACCAGAGTTGTATTTACCGCTCTTGAAATGAATTGTTAAGTTTTGAAAAATTAAAATTGCATGACATCATTGAGCATGATGATTTTCAAAGATGAAGATGTGATTTTCTTTCAGAAGGGCATTGCATGGCATGTGTATTTCATCTCTTGAGACTTGTATAAAATATATATACTTTGTTAAGGATTTCCTACTGGGTTTTATGTTCACCCTACAAGAGTTTTGTGCAGGAAAAGATGTGGTGATGCCGCATAACTAGAGGGGAGGAAATGTGTGTTGAGAGTACAAGACTCTCATTTTGCTGTGACTCTGTGTGTAGGCCAAGGGCTGTATGTGTGTGGATTTAAATAACCGTTTTGTGTAACCAGGCTCAAGCCTTGGAAACTTATAAATCCCTTGGGGGTATTTATTTGTTTATTTACTTATTGTTGGATTAATGTATTGTTGCATGAAAAACTATTGTATTATGTAATGTAAGTTTGGAGATTTATATTCAGTTTTCCTTAAAAGAACCATGATTGTTGTATTATCATTTGGGCTAGAAATTTGGGACGTTACATTTCAAATTTAAGGTATCTACATATTCCAACATTCTTAAAACTTACATTAGATAGAGAAAATTTTAAGAAAAACATGACCCATCAAACCCTAGGTTCTTATACTACATGCTTTGCAATTTGTACAAAATTTCTAACTTTTCATGCAATGAAGTATACCACATATCTATTTATAACATTATATTAAAGAGAATTAAAAGAATCCATACCTCTTGGAGAGAAGAGGAGAACAAAGAAGAAAACCTCCAAATTTTGAACTCATCGAAATTTTGATTGCTTCGGTCAAAACGATGCCCTTAACATGCTCATCACTTTAGTCCAAAGAATTAGTGTCAAAATCTTCATTGATTTGTTTGGATTGAGAGATTTGTGAGGTTGGTGGGCGTTTATATAGAGAATGGGAAGGAAATAGAGTTCAGAGAGAGAGGGAGTTGAGAGAAATGAGAGAAAATAGGGAAAAGATCAAATTTTGAAAGAAAAGAACACAAAAATTGAGGTCTGGACATGCATAATCCACTCGTGTGGATATTTACGCTGCATGTGGGGATCTATCCAGTGAAAAAAAATGCTTTCTTGCGAAATCTGCTCGTAAGGAATTCACATTCTACTCGAGTGGATTAGCACATCTAGCTTTTATTAATTAAACTTCAAACAGACGTATCTCCTTCTTCCAGAGTTGGAACATAGTCAATTTTGTATCTAAATTGAAGCCCCATAAGTAAGCTTTCCAATCGTTTTGGCCTCACATTAATATTCAAAATGTGAAGAGAGGAAAAGGCAAAAGAGTAAACACTACTCAAAAATAAATATTTGAATTTGAAATTTTTGGTCTAATTTTACTCAACCATCATGTTAACTCATCAATCAAAGCTCCAAACACCAAAACTGAGACCCCAATTATAATAACTAAAAGGTCAAACATAAACCCATTAATTTCAAAAGTCCGAAACTAATACAAGATAACGAGGTATCATTTAATATAAACAAGCCGGGTTTGAGACCCGAGACACTACATGATCACTTTTGTGATAGAAAAATAACAACCATTGCGTCCTTAAATAAGTGGTGTTTATATAAAAATAGTTGTATCAATAGATAAAACATGTCTCATATTGAAGTTTTCGCAGCTTGAGAGTGATCATGCTTTGGGTTTTGCACACCCTTTTGGATAAGATCAAGATTGATCAAAGAGGTTGATTAGAAATCAACCTTTTGAACATAGCATAACATTCAACAGGCTTATACTCTATAGGTATGTGCCCTCCTCCCTGTTAACAGAAAACAAAATAGTTAATTGCATTCTCTTTTATACTTTCAACTATTGTCAATATTCTTTTTTTTTTTTTTAATGTCATTCTTAAATTATCAATTTCATCTAGGGTTAATTATACCAAGACCCCTTCAACTACTGGTGAATATCACTTAACCCTCCTTATCTATAAACCTATAAAAATGTATCATTTTTATCCCCTTCAGACCACCTCCAAAATGGGTATATATTTATATAGTTTCAATAACTGAGAGGGTAAAATGATATTTACTAAAAGTTGAGAAAGTCTTCGTGTAATTAAAATTTTCATCTATCTAGTCAATATAGTTGTTATTAATATATTTTAATATTTTTTTTCTGGTTCATATGATTCAATTGAAAATAGCATGTCCAAATTAATAATGGTGAAAACATAACCACATACACAAAAAGGTAATTTTATAATTCGGATAATTTAAATGATACAATCAATCCCTTGTCTTCTTACTCATATTAGAACTTACAACTTACGTTGAAATATCCATATTCTTCTTCACCCTTTTATTTCAAAATAGTGAGTAAGAAAAACGAGTGCTTGGTTGTACGATTTAAATTGTTCAAATTTTGAAATAACATTTTTGCCCATCAAATAAGCTTTGGTTGTTACTAATTTGGTCTTCTTTTAGCTGTCTTAAAAGTCATCTTATTGGCTAAAAAATTCATTTTGTTAAATGCCTTCTCATTTGAATAATTCATTTTTCGCTAAAAGTCAATTTTATCTACTTGAAAGCCATTAGAAAAACTTCAAAAGTTAGAAATGTGTCAAATAAATTTCTTTTTTTTTAAGCATTAAAGTTTTTTGTGGACTCATTAGCTAGTTTTTAAAAGGGAGGATTATATCCCAGTAGGACAGAGTTTTTTTATTTTTTTATTTTTTTTAACACAAATATAGAAAGATGCAAGTTCACACTTCCACCCCCACAGCATTTCACCTGCGCCCTGTCCCATAATTATTTACATTTCACATGTTTTTGCTATAATTCCCCTTTTTTAAAATAACTTCCAAAGGAAGTATTATAGACAACCATTTTCAATGCATAGTAAGGCCTCTTTTGGCAACCCAAAAAAAAAAAATCACATCTTTTTATGAATTTTTTTTGCCTTTAGTGATTTTTTTTTTCAAAATAACTTTTTTCAATCCGTCTTGTCAAGACGAATCTAAAAAGTATATTGTGTTTTGAAAAATTTCAAAAAAAATTGAAAAAGGCAAACTAAGCCAAAAAGATTGCTTATTTTTGTCTTTTTTGGATTTTTTTTGAAATTTTTTTAAAAAAATTATAAATTTCCGGTTCGTCTTGTTGAGCTGAATATAGAAATCTAATTTTTTTTGAATTTTTTTATTATTTAAAAGTTCACTAAAAATGAAAATAAGCAAACCCCAACATAAGCCTAATTGAAATTAGAGACTGTAAAACCTAATTAGACGAAATTGATAGAAATAGAATAAAAGACGACAATTTAAGAGATAAGAGTGAAATTGGCCCTTTAAAAAAAAATACCATAAATTTGGTACTATTTCTTTTCTTTTTCTTTTTAAATTGAAAAAGAAAAATTATGAGAAGTATCAAACATACTTCAAGTTTGACAAACTATTTTTTGAATACTTATGAGAAAATACTTTTAAATTATTTTCTCAATTTTAAAAAAGTATTTCCGCACAAAAATAAAATGGTAGTTTCAATTTTTTTATTATTATTTTTATTTGGGTTATTTACATGAAGATGCCTAAACTATTGAAAAGTATCACCTTGACCCCTACACTAAAAATATATAAATGGACCCCCTAAACTATTGAGAAGTATCATTTTGCCTCTTAAATAATAAAAGTGTACAAATGGATCCTCTAAACTATAAAAGTGTACAAATTGGACTCCCTAAAAGAATGAGTCAAAGTGAAATACGTCAATAATTTAAGGGGTTCATTTGTACGCTGTTATAGTTTATGGTGCAAAGTGATACTTCTTAAAAGTTTAGAGGGTCTATTTATACGCTTTTATAATTTAGGAAGTGAAAGTGATACTTTCCAATAGTTGATGAGGTCTTCATAGAAATAACTTTTTTTTTTTTAAAAAGCAAAAAAACAAAACAAAAAACAAGTGAATGAAGAGAAATTTCATACCTTAACGGTAGCAAACGTCATCCGATTGGAGTAAGTCCTTGTATAACTACACATTTGGCAATGAAAAATAAACAAATAAATAAATAAAATAACTTTTTCTAATAAGCTTTAATCTTTAAAAAAAAAAAAATGGATATGAATATGAAAAGGTGAAGTTAACCCACCCGGCAACTTGGCCTTGGACCCACCAAGAACGCCACTCATCAACAATGGAATAGTTGAGCTCTCTAATCCATGCTTGAGTTCCCAAGAATGGAACGCCCATGTCGTGATCACCACTATTTCAACAATCATTACACAGTTTATTATGTAAGTTTTCGTATGTTGATTATTGATAAATAAAAAAAAATTAAATTAATCTAATAATTGTGATTGTATTATTTTTATCAGATTTAACTTCAGGAAATAGATGTGTGTTCTTTTGACCATGAATCTTCGTTGTTTTATTATGTTTTAAGAAAATATAATGAAATCATGTAATAACAATTTATTGGATAATTTTTTCCCCTCTTTTTTTATGGTGAATGATCAACAATGAAGAGACCTATAAAAATGAAGTTAGATCATCAAAATAAAATTTGCGACGAGAATGACAACCAATTGGACAAAATTACACTTCTCTCCATGGAGAAGCCAAAGAGCATTGCTATTTGTGGGGTCATAAATTTAGGGTCGTGCCACGTGGCCGAGGTATTAGCCGAAGTGCCACGTGGACATGCCAGATTGCCAAGGTGATTGTGGTATCACTAAAATATGGTGCGATAATACCGGAATCCGAGATATTTGGATAGAAGACAAAAGTCCTAGATAAGATAAGGCGCTTAGTTCGAATAGGGATGAGACTCTTGTGGAGTTTATCCATATCTGACTAAGAGTCTGAGATAAATTTTGTACTTGAGTCTTATGAAGTGAGACTTCTAGGAGACGAAGGCACTGATTATTATAAAAGTAAAGCACCCCCGTGAGTCTAAGGTATGCTTTTACTTGTGTACTGATTACTTGAGTTGATATCTTTGTGAGATAAGTGACTGACTTGATCGTTAAAGTGCCCCCCGGTGAACGAGCAATCGTGGTATTCTTATCTTCTTGTGCATAGGTGCTTAGTTTAATTTATTATGCCACGTGCTCTCCAGCTAAGTTCCTTATTTGGTTGTGAGGTTAGAAATCAACACCCATAATTTGGTTTCATCTATGAGAACCTACTTAAAGATATATGGCCAACGCCGGACAAAAGGTGAGAGTCGGGGACAACATACACAGTGAGAAAGAGGAGTATGTCAATCTAAATATTACAGGGGGAAACAATGAGGAAGAAGTGCAAGAGGTGAATCCAGAAGCAAACAACGCTGCCAAGGGCTGAAATGGCCCAAAGAAGGGCAACTGAGAGGAAACTACAATGAAAGCGATTTCTAGGTCTAGAAAGAACGATGCCTAAAAAGAGACGACGAGGTGAAGGACTTGGGGACCAAGTTGATAGACTTATAAACCTTGGTGAACTTTATGATGCAGAACCAGGTGATGCAACCAGCGTCGTCATTGCCAGCAACGCCAACGCCAATAGCAAATGCCAACTCCCAGAAAGAAAGACAAGCTACAGCGCTGACCGTTCCACAACACGAAAAAAGACCTAGAAACTTGCATTAACGATCACAGATCGTTGGGCAAACAGAACCACGACGGGAGGAGTCTCAGAGAACCCTGAAGACCCAAGGAACGCAGATCAGGGGATCTCAACAGATCAATAGCCGAGGCCTCTACCTTGACGACGTAATAGACATGGAGAAGTCCAAAAGGACGTATCCCAATACAAGAAGCAGCGTGCCGAAGAGATTGAAGTCAACTGATAGCTGAGCTCTTGGACGGACGGAGGGAGACTTGTGCAACTACCTCCAGAGGAAGAGGCAGGACACTGAGGTCACATCCATCGCTTAGCTGAGAACGCCATTCTCGGTGGAGCTAGATGTGTTCAAGGCACCGAAGAGATTTAGTAGGCCGAGGTTCCAGATCTAAGATGGTAAGTTAGACCCGAACTTTAATGTTGGTTTATATTTGAATGCAATGCCTCTGTGAAGCGGAAACGAGCAGTTGTTATGCAAGGTGTTCCCATCAACATTTGAGGAAATAATGTCTGGCTGGTTCCACAAACTGCCAAAGGGATGTATCAAGAATTGAAAAGGCCTAATCGAGATGTTTATGGCCAGGTTTGTTAAGAATAGATTACATCCATTAAAGGTTGATTCCCTATTGGCCTTGAAGATTGACGATGGTGAAAGCCTTAGGGTTTACGCTAAGAGGTACTACGAGTTTTACAACTGGATCCCTACTTATAACTAGGAACTTGCAGTCGTGTCTTTTAAGAACGACTTGGAGAATAATTGCCCACTATGGCAATCCCTTGCAAAAACCCTCCCGAAAAATAAGAAGGACCTCATGGCAAAGATTGAGAAGTACGCAAGGGTGGAAGAGGATAAGAAGGCAAAGAAAGGAATCACCGTAAAGTAAGAGAAGAAAAACAGCTCACCAAAGCGCAGCCAAGGAAATACCAGCACTGGCAAGCAAGAACCAGGATTGAAGGCTATGCAGCCCGTGAGCACAGTTTTCAATATCCCAATCTACAAGATCTTGGACAGAATCAGGAACTAGCTCTACTTCAGGGCACCACAAAAGACCCCGAGGGAGTATATGGGCAAGAATGACGGGTAGAATTGTGCTTACCATGACGAGAATGGGCACATAACTCAAGGGTGTCAGGCTCTGAAGTAACATTTGGAGGACCTTGTCAAATAGGGACACCTGAGAGATTTGATAGATAAGGCAATAACAAGAGAGGAACAGGCGAAGCTAGCCTAGGTGTCGGCAGTAGCAACACTACATTCGACGCCACATGTAGATGCACTATAGGTTATCAACGTGATCCATTGGAAGGTCAATGTAAATGTGATCCGGGGAGAAACACAAAGGGTAAGACATCTGCAGCATGTCTTCTAAGATGGAGGGACATCGGGGGCCGATGATCTCGTTTATAGACAAAGACCTAAATATGGTGCAACATCTACATAACGATGCCCTGGTAATAACTCTGAAGATTAAAGACTGCCAAGTAAGGTGAATACTAATCAACCAAGGAAGTTCCTGTGACATCATGTATGTGAGATGTTATAGGGAGCTCGGCCTTCACAAGGATGATTTGGAGCAGTTCGAAAACCCCATGGTTGGATTTAATGGGACCCCGACGTGGTCAGTAGGAACCACGAACTTGGAGATTCAGGTAGGAACAAAGAATATAACTACATAGTTCACTGTGATCAACACATCTTCCCCATACAAGATTATCTTGGGAAAACCTTTGTTGCATGCTATGAAGGTTGTTCTCTCAACTTTGCACCAACTACTGCGATTTTCAACCGAGTTTGGGATTGAAGAGGTGAGATGAGACCAAATACAGGTGAAAAATTGCTCTACAGCAGCAATGAAGTACACCTGCAACGTTAGAGATGTGGAGATGATTGAAGTAGAAGATAAAGACCAAGTGGTTTTGGATAATGTCGGCAAAGAGCCTGCTGACAAGAGCTAGGAGTCTTTGAAAAAGGTTCTGGTACAGGAAAGGAACGAAGAATGATTCTTTCTCCTAGACTCAAGTTTAGCCAAGGAGGAAGTAGAGCCAGGTTCGAATAGAGCAGAGAGATACGCCACGTTAAATCTCATCACATTTGGTGGGACATTCTTGAGAGACTGTTGAAGGCGCAGACAAAGAAAATTTGAGTCATTCTTGAGAGAAAACATAGAGGTGTTTTCCTGGACACCGTATGAGATGCTGTGGATCAGCCTCGAGGTTACCTATCACAAGCTCAACATGGATAGGTTAGCTAAACCTATGATCCAGAGAGCTAGGCGACCGACATTGGTCCACATAGAAGTAGTTGACGAAGAAGTAGAGAAACTGCTGAAGGCACAGGCAATCTGAGAAGTAAACTACTCGACCTGGCTATCCAACACAGTGGTAGTCAAGAAAAAGAATGGCAAGTGAAGGGTTTGCATAGACTTCACAAGCCGGAATAAGTCTTGCCCGAAGGACTGTTTTCCCTTGTCGAAGATAGACCAACTCGTGGATGTCACCCCGAGACATGGAAGGATAAGCTTTCTTAATGCATACAGAGGTTATCATCAGATAGCCATGTATGCACTAGATGGAGAGAAGACGACATTCATCACTCCAAATGGACTCTATTATTATAGAGTGATGCCTTTCAGATTGAAGAATGCATGAGCTACATACCAGAGGTTAGTGACCAAATTGTGTAAACACTTGATTAGTAAAATCGTGGAGGTTTACATCGACGACATAGTTGTGAAGAGTAAGGAACCATTGAAGATTAGAAATTAGATTCAATTTTCAAGCCTAGTGATGTGGCAATCAATTAGAGTATTAAAGGCAACATTCTCTCTCATATCTTCTCTAATTATCAACTAATTATATCACTTACACTTCATTGGGTCTAAAAAGTGAGCTTTTATATCATTTCTTAAAACCAAATCCTTTTTGTTTTTTTCTTTTTTTTCTTTTTTTCCTTTTTGGTTTTTATTTATGGGACTCGTTATCTGTCCCCACAAATTAGTATCTTTAGCCCCACCGTTTTCTAAATTTTGTTTATTACCATTTTATCTTTAATTAAAATTACCATTTGAAAATTGAAACCCGAAAATTCTAAAAATCAATTTCCTTATTACATCTATCTATCCACCTTCCCAACCAATGCCCGCCACCACCCCTCTTATCTCATTTTCCCACCATTGCTAAGGCCTCTCACTTTGTCATCCCATGACCTCTTCTCTCCTACCTCGCTACACTTTCCCCTTCAATATCCCAATCTACAAGATCTTGACCACTATCTGCATACCCAGCAACACCCATCTCCCCTTTTCTTTCCCTCCTTACCATACTTGTATACCTCATTTCTTGTCCTTGACACTAACTAACTCCCACCATTCTTTTCTGTTACCCTCACATCTTCCTACTTGTAATACTTTTATCTCCACTGCCATATCTCTTCATTCCCTTACAGTCTACATGATACTCAGTCATTTCATTTCTCTCCTCAAACCTCTGTAATTTTTTTATTGGAACTCCACTCCTTTGTAATTTATTTATTACTATTTTATTTACATTCCTAATTTCTCAAACCTTAACCCTAACTCTACATCACCCACTACCGCCATCTTTGGTTGCCAGCCTCAATCCCTATTCACCATTTCTCATCGCTCTATACCACTATTAATTCCTTTCCATTCTCATCACTCCTATGTCTATCCCCACCATATTCATCCATTCGTTACAATTTATTTCCCCTAAGTAGCCCATCTTTACCCTCCTCGGCCTTTACCCCATCCTCTCACTTCTCCATGCAATCCCCTTGATAAAGAAAGAGGAATTGCACAATAACGCCTTCGGGAGAGAGAGAGAGAGAGAGAGAGAAGAAAACGTCGAGGGAAGAGAAACAGGGGTTGGGATATTAAAGGAGAAGGAAGAGAGGCTAGGAAAAAGTAAAGGAGGGTGTAAATGTGGTAATGAGCTGGTGTTGGTGGGTAGAAACAGGCTAATGGGTAGTGACAAGGTGAGAAATGGACTGCTAGAGGCAGAAGTAGAAGTAGGGGCTAGGATTAGAATTTCATATGTTAGGGATGGTGATAGAATTGAGATTAAGGTAGATGTTCAAAGTAGAAAAAGAAATTTCAAAATTGTGATGGGGTTCAAAGAAGATAGGGATCCAAAAAATATAGATCAGTGCTATTAGCAGCATTATTTTTAAACACGTAAAATGAGGAAAAATAGTGTGTAACTAGCAGCACCCTTATTTATGGCACTTAAAATTTTGTTTTAATGCAAGAAAGATAGTGATCTCACCTGTATATAAGAGACCGGTAACCTTTGGTGCTGAGGTTCACATGATATTGGAAGCTGTCCAAGATTGATTTAGTGTAAGGCAATCCATAGTTACATCTTATCCATTCCTGTGTGCTTCCCTATTATAAGAAAATACAATTCATTTTCATGATATTTTTCTTATAAATATAGTTTTAAATATCAATATTTACGTATTTTTTCCCCTCACGATATTGATACATCTCAACAAATTGATAAGAAAGGGAAAAGAAATACATGTATATTAGCCAATTCACGATACATATCAATTTATACATGATACCACTGGTTCATAGTACTAATATGACAAGTTAAGCTACTATAAAGCACATTTTTTTCACGGCTAATGATAAATCTTCCCGATGCTAATTCTTCTCTCAATACAATTGTTTAAACTTTTTCCAACTAAAGAAACCATGTGAGTTGTACCTTTCGGATATGAAGCGCTTCTCGGACTCTATCATTGTTAAGCCACAAATCTTTTTTTCCCTCACGATATTGATACATCTCGACAAATTGATAAGAAAGCGGAAAAAAATACATGTATATTAGCCAATTCATCATATATATCAATTTAAACATGATACCACTGGTTCATAGTACTAATATGACAAGTTAAGCTACTATAAAGCACATTTTTTTCACGGCTAATGATAAATCTTCCCGATGCTAATTCTTCTCTCAATACAATTGTTTAAACTTTTTCCAACTAAAGAAACCATGTGAGTTGTACCTTTCGGATATGAAGCGCTTCTCGGACTCTATCATTGTTAAGCCACAAATGGGAAAGTTTGTATGCATTAATCTACAATCAAGAAAGACAAGTGAAATAGTCATAAGACACAATATTTTTATCAAACAATACTTATTATGGGATCATTGAGATAAAATGCAGTTTCAAATGCTATAGTAAAGCATCAACAATGCTAAGTGTCATTGTCAAACTGTAGCTATGCAACAATACAAAAATGTCAAAGTTTGGGAACCTTGTTCTAATTGTATGGCGTGGTTAAAAGTTTCCCATTAGGGTTTTCGCCCCTCTTGGTCGTCACCTACTTGTGGAATACTTTATTATTTTTTACACAGCTATCCGACCAATGATGGATCTCTATAAAATATATCTAGCCGTTAAGAGTAATGTCAAAATTTTGGCAATCCAAAACCTGTGCCAACTTTGGCATAAAAAATAACAATGTCAAAATTTGACAACTTCAATAGTAGCCTCATTAGAGCACCGACTTAATTCAAATAGTTGTTATAATATTTTAGGCTTTAAAAATATTTTGATAAACATAACTATGGAGTCGCCACACTTCTCTTTAGTGTATTAGGCTGTCCAATATTGGTTGTAAAAGGCTTATGGTTCCAACAACAGCCATAAGGCCAGTCGTGGGCCACATAGGTCTCTCACATCTGTGCACTAGATAAAAGTTTTTTTTTTTTTTTTCAATTTGACCCAATTAGTTTCATGGGAATCCCTCACTAAGATATTTGGCATCCAATTGAAAAAGCCTGAATTTTTTTTTAAAATTTTTAGTCTTTAGTGATTTTTTTTATGTGTTAAACAATTTTATTTTCCGATTTCTTTAGTGTAGAAGAATCTAAAACATAAAAAAATAAAACAAAATTCAAAAAAAGTTCAGTTAAGATAAAAAACAAAATAAAGTCCTAAAAGCCAATTGCTCTTACTCTTTTTTTTTGGTGTCTTTAGTGGACATTTTTTTTTCAAATTTATTTATTTACTTTTTTAGTTTGTCTAGGCAAGTAATAATAGTTAAAGTTTTTTGATTTTTTTTAATTCATTAAAGACGAGAAAAAGTCACAAAAAAAAAAAGTCAGCAAAAAGCCAATCCCAAACGACCCGGCTCCTTTGTTACAAAATGTGTAAAATTGATAACTTAACTTCAAATTTTTTAAAGTCATAATACAAAAAGTATTTAAATATAATGTTTACGTCTATTAATTTGGCATTGGTATAAAATTTTAAATCCAAAACAGAAGATAGCTTATGAAAACCTGATTGAAAATTGAAATTTGATCCATTGGTTTTTCTTAATGTTATAGCATATTACTGACAATTTTTTTCATTTTTTTAAAATGATATATACCATGCTATATTGGGAGCAAATTATTGGAAAAATTAGGAGGGCTTACACGACTAAAATCACAGGGCGATAGTTGATGAACGAGAAGCTTTATGTATTTCTCATTGACAAATCTCCGTTCACTAAACAATTCTTGTGGTTTTGGAGAATCAAATCCACAATATGGTTCCAAAATTTGATCCTTGGGAAGTCCATCAATACACTACAAATGCAAACAATGAATCTTCATAAGTTTTGTATCTAAGTAAGGCACAAAATGAGGCACTGGAAAGGTTTGTATAACAGAATAAAACATATATATCAGTTTATTAACCTGAGAGTAAGCTTGATAATCTTGCAAACACCGTGCATTGCTAGGATGTATATTGGAATACTCTCCTTGACAACTTCTCTGCAATGACTGAAAGGAAAAGGTTGCTTTTAGGAGGTCATGGATTCAAATATTGTCTCTCTCATTATCTCTGTCATTGGGTACTCAATCTATTTTGTCAATTTTTCTGTACATACGAAATGAGGTCACACGTGATGAGGGGAAGCCCATTTTTAACCATATAAGTTTTGGAGAAAATATTATTATGTTCTCTAAGCTATCACTAAAAAATCAATTCAACCCATGATATTTCCTCAAGTTTTTGGGACAATTGTGATTTGTTATCATGGCTAATGAAATAATGTTATACATGATATTTGAGTGGATTTTGGAAAGAGATGGAAGGGATTTAGTTCAAAGTAGTAAAGCACCTCGTAGAGTTCATCTGAAATAAGTCCCATTCCATGAGCAAATGGTATTCTATAATTGTCATCATCAAGATTTGTTAATGGGTTGCCAAGTAAGTATCCCTGAAACCATTTCAGAACCACAACAAACACTTTGTAACTTTGTAGAGCATTAAAGAAAACACTTTCAAATGGTAAATTATAACAATGGTCTCTCTAATTTGAATAAAATTTTATTTTGGTCTTCGTAGTTTTAATTTGAACAATTTAGTCCTTACACTTCAACTTTGTTGCAATGTGTTCTCTTCGTCATGCGTTGCTAATATTTTGAACGGGAAAAAAAGTACGTACAAAACTTGAGGGATCAAGTAGAATTCAAAACTAACTATAGGTACTACTGATGTAACGAATGTATTACACTAGTGGTCCTTGTATGTTTTAAATGTCACTTTATTTCTCTCTATTTTTACACATAATCTTTTTCAGTTCCAAATTCTAATGGTAAGTGACGGAAGGATCACATTACATCAAAATTGAAAGTGTAGGGGCTAAATTATTCATATTGAAACAGCGGAAACTAAAGTGACACTTTACTTAAACGGGATTAGTAGTGTAATTTACCCTATAAAGAGCTACAAACCTTGAGATTGATAAGCGGTTTAATGCCAACTTCATTTCCTGTATTGCAACATAGTTAGTACATTTGAAATAGGAGCAAACACAGTTTTCATTCACATTTGCATTATTGTTCTCCCAAGCAAATGATTTTTTTAAAAAATGTTACACTTGATTCATCCATCCCTGGTTAAAATTGCTACCAAGTCCTATTTTCAACTTTGAAGTGCTTCTTGTTTGTTTATTTATTTATTTGTAACAAGTTCAACATATATTTATTTTACATGGAATCAAATACAGGTGTCTAGTCGAGATATATGTTTAAGGGTCCAATTCATCTGATCACACATCCAAGGACATTGCTAATAGACTTAAAAAAGTCATGTTAGAGGTAATTGGTGAATCACAATTAGCATTCCTAGGAGGCAGAAATATAACTGATGGGGTATTGATTCCAAATGAAATTATGGATGCGTGGAAAAAAAAAAAAAAAAACAAGAGAAGAGGGCTGCTATTCAAAATTGACTTTGAGAAGGCTTATAACTCCATCAATTGGGAATTCCTATTCTCAATGCTATCTAACTTTGACTTTGGCTTTGGCTTTGGCTCAAAATGGTTCTCTTGGATGAAGGAATGTCTCTCTTCAGCTAGAATCTCAATACTGCTAAATGGTTCACCAACTAAGGAGTTTAGTCCTCAAAAAGGCCTCAGACAAAGGGATCCATTATCTCCTTTCTTATTCAACTTGGCTACAGAAGGTCTGAATATATTACTTGTGAGAGCTAGGGAGTTGGGGCTATTGAAAGGAGTAGTTTTTGGTGATAAGGAAGTGGTATTTTCTCACTTACAACGTACACATGACTCATTATTGTTCTGTGGTGCTGAGAGGTCAGAAGTGTTAAATTTAAAGAGGATCTTAAGGTGTTTTGAAGTTGCATCAGGGCTTAAGATCAACTATCATAAAAGTCTGGTCTCTGGGTTTAGTATTTCTGACTCTGTGCTTAAGCTTAGGCTTGCTGGTTGGAAGAAGAGATTCATTTCCATTGTAGGCAGACTAACTCTAGTTAAAGTAGTGTTATCTAGTCCGCCAGTGTACTACCTCTCACTATTCAAGATGCTAGAAGGGATAGCAAGAGAAATTGATAATTATAAGCCTCATTCTTATGGGGTGGCTTTGAGTTGAAAAGGAAAATTCATGTAGTGAAATGGGAAGAGGTAACTAAAAGTATTAAGCAAGGGGGTTTGGGTGTTAGAAATCAAAGATATAAATGTTTGTCTATTAATTAAGTGGTGGTAGAGGTTCACCAATGAGGAATCAGCTTTGTGGAAGAAGGTGATTTGCAGCAAATACAAATTTGATGGTGGGAAATGGCTACCAAATCTACACTCAAGCAACAGATTCTCCAAGATTTGGGGAGATATTTTGATAGCAGCAAATGAAAGGGTCAGCTTACTATAATTTTATATCAGTAATCTCTATATTAGAGTGAGTTTCTGGCATGATAGTTGGCATGAAGGAGTTAGTCTTAAAGAGTTATTTCCTAGACTCTTTAGGTTGTCTAATGATAAGGATGGGTCATTAAGGGCCTATGTTGTTAAAAAAGGAAACTTTGAGAATTGGGTTTTTAGTTTTAGGAGGGCCTTATTCCAAAGGAAAAATGAGGAGCTTCACACACTTAATCAGCTTATCAGAGTAGCCCCTGTTTTGAACATGAATGCTAAGGATAAATCAGTTTGGCTAGCAACCAAAACAGGGCAATCTTTTGTCTAAACTCTTTATAATCACACTAATTTAGATTATGGTGAGTATAAGAGTTATGGCAGATTAGTGTGGATCAAGTACCTTCCCTCCTAAAGTACAATTTTTTAGGTGGCTTGCATGGAAACACAAGGTTAAAACTTCTGTATTCCTATAAAGAATTGGAGTGCTGGATGACAGTGCAGCTACTTTGTGTATATTTTGCAAAGCTGACCAAGAATCAGTAGAGCATGTGCTTATCTTATGCCCTATGGTTTGGAGAGTTTGGACAAGTCTTCTGAAATGGTGGGGAGCTTAATAGGTGGTGCCTAGAAAAGTGGAAAGGCTATTGCAGTGGTGGGTAGGAAATAGATTCACGAAAGTTGAGAGGAGAATTTGGAATGCCATACCTCAGGTGGCTCTTTGGTCCATCTAGAAACACATGAACGAGTGCCTCTTTGATGACATCCAACCAATGATGAAGGAGCTATAGGAAGCTATAATTATTAGGCTTGCAATATGGCTGAAATCCATAACCAGGGACTTCCACTACTCCATCAATGATTTTATGTACAATATTGTGCATATTAGATTTTGTATTGGTGGAAGGGTGTAATGTTGCATTGTTTTGGCTGTATTAAGGTGTTTTGAGTTGGAAACTCTCTAACTCTCTCTGGGGCTTTGGAAATGCACATGATTAATCTTACTTTGGGTGTCAACCTAGTTGGGATGCTTAGTTTTGACAATGATACAACTTCTTTCCTAGTTATGAGTACCTTTTTTGATCTAATAAATTTTTTTCTCATTGCTGCTCAAAAAAAAAAAAAAAAAGGACATGGGGACATGACAAATATTCTTATTTGTTAATTTACCTCTTTAATGTTTCAAAGTAAAATAATGGGAATTGGGGTTAATCTGCTATAAGGTAGGTCAATGGTGACTGGTCTCGAGTTTTTTTTCAGTAATCTGAATCATTCATATTATAAGGTTCGTCAAATATGTTATTTATGAAAAAAAAAAATCAGGTTAATCAGATATTTGTAGTCCCATAAGAAGACCATATTTTTTTTTGTAAAAAAAAACAAACAAACAGCTACCATGATTTTGATAATATTTTTAAAAACAGTTAGAATCCAATCATAAGGTTACGGATATCCGATTAACCTAATTTTTGACATGGATATATGTTTCGACAAACCTTATAATATGAACTAGGGATGTAAGAAAAATAGAAAGAAAAAAAAAACAGACCGATTGAACCATATCAAATCGGCTATATTTAGTCTGTTTTTTTAACAAGAATCAGTCGTGCGGTTTTTAAGTTTGATTTTTTTTTAAAAAAAATTTGGTTCAATATCAGTTCGAGCACCTTGTACGCCGAAATAAATCAAAACTGACCATTTCAACATATATTGTATTTATAATATATATATATATATATATATAATCTAATAATATAATGATATTAATAAGTATAATAAATTATTAACCTTATCATCTTTATAACTTAAGCTTGTAAACTCTTATTATATATAATCTTAATTTTAACTCATTATTCCTGAAATCTTAATATTTTTTAATTTTATTTTTATTTTTGTTAATCTAAGAATTAAAAAGTATTTATTAAATGGATGGATTGAATATGTTTGAAATTGTGGACAAATAACTAATTTAATGTTTTTATATAGATTATTGATTATATTTAAAAGTGGCTCAAGTTTGAAAGGTCCTAGACTGATTAAACTACACTGAACTAAAATGTTTCAATTGGTTCGGTTCGGTGTAGTTTGATGGAAAAAGCAGTTTGTATTGGTGTTCAAAATAATAAAACCGATATTATCGATTCGGTAATATTTTTTTTATAAATACCAACCACACCGAACTGATTACATCTCTAATATGAATGTTCGTATTATCAAAATAAGCTCCTAATAATATCCCACGAAAGCTCACAACAATAACACTGGGTCTAAAATAATGTCAGAGACATATCTCATTGTCTTATCCACATATTCAAGTGTCGAGTATTTAACGTGGTTACTTTATATATTTAAACAATGAAAACATATATGTAAGTGTTTCTATCAAAAATGACCACCCTATCAGATGATACCATGTGGCATTAGTTATTCAAATTGAGAGGGTAATTTGTGAACAAATTGGGCCGAGTTAGGAAAAGTCTTCTTTGGAAGTTGGGCCGCGCTATGGGTTGAGATAAGAGTTGGTGCAGCTCGGTCTTGGGCTAAAAAGACACTAGGCCGGTCGGAGATGGGTTGCTAGGGCCTAGACCTAGCTATCTGAAGGTAGTCCTTTATCGGACCGAGATGATGTCAATAGAGAGGGCCGAGCTATGTGTATCCCGACAAGGTGCCATTTGGTAGATCAGCTTCCGGTCACATGGCCCGAATGGCAAGGGACCGAGATAAGGTAGCACGGTCAGAAATGTATATCCGAGCATAAGGGTGTGGCCATCTCACTTAGCTTGCAATGATGAGGGTGTTCTAAGGATAAGCATTATCCTTGGGCATGAGACTCCTAGGAGAACTCTGCTAAGGAGAGTTAGAGTCCTACTGGGATTGTGCTAACTATCTCACTTTTGTTGGTAGTGAATAGGGTGTTATCAAGATAGACATTATCCTTGGGAGCATGATTCCTAGGACTCTGCTAAGGAGAATTGGAGTCATACTAGGATTGTGCCAGGCGGAATCTATAAAAGCTCATGACAGGACCTATGCATAGGTATGGCAATTCTTACTCTCAAATACACAGATCTTATTGTCTATTGCCTACTTGTTGACTTAGGCATCGGAGGGGTTTCTGGCATACACCCCCCAGCTAGCTCACATGTGTTTTCAGGTAGCAAAGAGACAACATTTGGAGGTGTGCAAACTTGATAAACAAGATTATATGAAAAGATTATTCTGTACTCGTACAATTGACACCGTTTGTGGAAAACTATCATAGAGAATAAACTTTTTGACTAAGTTTTCCTTCAACTGATTTCAATGGAGCACAATGAAGACTTGTCTCTGTTTGTTATCGATGGACATACTTCAGAAGACAGGAGGCGTAAGGATTTACCTTTTGTCCCGCCCATGGTAGACTTAGACCACCAGTGACGAAACCCATGGAGGGGCACGCGATAAAAATGGGGCTGAAGTCCTCGTCGCTCTCACACTCCCAAGGATAAAAGAATATACAGCCTCTAGGACTCGTTACTCTAGGTCTAAGAGAACGAGAACAGAAAGGTCTTACACGGAAGGAAGCAATTATTGACCTTCTCATACGCATCAAACCACTTCTCAGTACACCAAGTTGCCTAGGT